ACCGGCGCCCGCCTCCCGCCGCCGCGACGGGCGGGGCGCGAGACCTCGGGGCGCTTCGGGGGCTGCGATCGCGGTCTGAGGAACCGTGTGGGTGACGCGTCCCCGAGGATCCCCAAGCGGGGAACGGGCCGAGGTACAAAGAGGTTCCGGAAGCCCAGCTGACAGCTGCTGTAGCAATCACAGGCGAAGGCTGTTCGGCAGGGGAAGTTCACGGTGTTGCATGAGTTGACATCGTAGGAAACGGGTACAGCGCTGCGGTCGCCGGCACTGTCCTTTCCCCGGGGCACCCGCGGCTCCACCGCGAACTAGGGTGAAATGTGTTGCAGATCCAGTGATCGGAAACGCCTTGGGATTCTCTCTGATCCTGAAGTTGAAATGTACCCGCTTTCGCAGACCTTTTTATTTTGAAACGGTCTATACGAATTATAAAGGAATGGGAACTAGTCAAATAGCTGTTTTTGAGTAACTTAACTGTTTATTTAAAACATATGCCCAAGTAGGCCGTTAAAAATCTTGGGCACTGATCTGTTTCAATTTCAATTCTGATACAAAGGCTTTCCTGGAGATTAGCTCAGAACTGGCAGGACATATGCTTTATTGGTGCCAAGTGGCTTAAAAGCAAAATGAGATAGTGTTGACTGTGAAAGATGAAGACGTGTGTTAACTAATCTTGTTGAGAAAAGTCTTAAATTTGGGTTAAAAGCAAAAATATATGAGGATTTGAAATGTTTCCCCCAGAGATTAGAGACAAGGAGAAAAAGATTTTACTATCCTTTATAATTCCTGGGAGCACTAACTGAATTTTTGAAGCTGTACAGACAGCTTGAAGCAGGCCAAGCTTAACTACTCAGGAATGCGTTCTATTTTAGAGACAGGCAAGGTGTTAAAATGAGAGAAAACCAGAGCGGTAAGTGTATTCAGGGAAGCAAAATTAGTTCAAACTAGGATGCTTTTAATATTGTTCTGTAGTCGTCGTTAAAAATTTGTAGTTAGAATAGTTTTCGAACTGAACAGAACTGGAAAAGTGGAAATCGCTGGGTGTGTATTCCATGAAGGATATTCGAACGGAGTAAAGGGAACAAAACTGTTGAGACAGGAAATAACTCCGTAGTTGAAAGTACGTTTTACCTTCTCTGATAGTGCTTCTTTAACCTCCAAGGAAAAAAAGGCTGAAATGTCATTTGGAGATAAATGTCCAGTGGGGAATGGAATGAATTTAAAGGGAAGATTTAAAAAAAAAAAAAAAAGATTACGGTGTTACTTTTTTCCTATAGAAATTGTTGTAAAATGTGAGATATTTTTGAGGTAGATTAGAGAAGTAGTAATCAATTAGGATATTTAGAAAACACAGGTTTTATTTTCTGAAAAGCATAAAGAGCAGTGTAAACATACTCAGTTTTTTGGTATTAGTAGTTAAATTTTCTTTAAACCATTCTTAGGTCGTAAGAGCATTATTTCAGTCTAAAAAGAAGTGGTCAGTGAGGTTATTTCCTTCATAATCCATAAGCGGTTTAGATTCCTCTCTGTATATAAACTCAATGATATTGAAGTAATGTCTATTATCAGATAGGCCTGAAGACTTTCTCTGTAATTGCTTAAGAGCTCTTGACACTACTTTCTGCCTTGGAATTTGTTGCTGACTCCTTGTAAAATGTTATGCATTGTAAAGGATACAGTCTTGGATACTGGTCCTTAGAACTAGACGAGACGTCAAAATTTCTAATCCATGTTCCTCTCATTACAGCTGAGAAAATGAAGGGCCAGGTAGGTAAAATGACTCCCAACTAATGTGTAGCTAGTTAAAATAGTCCAGTTTGGCCTAGAGGTTTCTTTTTGTGAGAAGCTCTGTGGCCTCTTTTCATTGGAAGTAGCTTTTTGGCTTCGTATTTGTTTTCTTGGTAGGGTATTTCTGTGTAGTTTAGGCTGTCCTTGAACTCCCTGTGTAGCTAAGCCTGCCTCAGCCTCCTGAGTGACAGAGTGACAAGCATGCGTCACCATGCTTGGCTGGAAGTAGCTTTATAAAGTAGTGAAGAGAACATTGAAATGCATGTGAGAAGGCCTGGATGAGAAGGCCTGGGTTTAATTCTAGATTCGTCATTTCCTAACAGTGCTTTTTGGCAAATCCCATTAACCTTCAGAACCTGGCTTTCTTCATCTCCCAAAATTAATTTCACACACAATTTACAGGGTTGGAATAAATGAGTTTCTACTGTAGTATACTGTACTCTATAGAAAGTACAATGTATACTGTACTGTAAACTTTTTATAGGTAAGAAATAGTGATATAATTTTTAAAGGAAATACTTTTTTTTTTTGAGGCAGCATCTCCCTATGTAGTTCAGGCTGGCCTTGAACTCACTACCTAGTGCTGGCTGACCTCAAATTTGGGGCAATCCTCCTGCCTCAGCCTAGTGAGTGCAGGGATTACAGGCCTGCATCACCATGCCCAGCAGGATGTACAGTTTTTTAAAGCATACTGAAGTGTTCACATCCCTTGGTTTTGCTTACCCTCGCTTTGTTTTCCAGCACCTACTATTTCACAAATAACTCCCTGTCGATACATTTTCTGATCCCCACTTAGTTCTAATCTTAGAAAAGCTGCTTAGGAACATTTTAAATATTGCAGCTGTTAAAGCCTGCTTTCCCCTGGAGAATATAAATTTTCTTCGTATAGGGTTTGAAAACATTTTTGTATACCCTCATGCATGCATAATCTGTTTAACAGACAGTGGCTTTTTAAAAGTAATAGTGAAACTATCTTAACTGTGTTCATTCGCCTCTTGGTGTTTCCAGATATGGCAATAGCAGGAGATAATTTCCTTTATAAACTTAGTTAACGTCATCTGGTAGATCTAAAACATAGAAGCATTTAAAAAGGGGTTTTTATTTGTTGCTGGTGTTAAATTCAAATTTTTTTCTAGTGTCTTTTATTGATAATACTAGAAATCAATATGTCATATTATAGTATTTCATAGGTGATCAGAATATAGCCTTGGAAGTAAAGGTGCTGATAAGTACAGCAAATTGCTGAGCACTTAGAGTCTCAGTCTGTACTCAGAGTTTTTAAGTGTGGTGTTCAGGTAATTCTCACAACCCTGTGACATAAATACTGTTGTTGCTCTAACAATGGCAGAGGAAACTGAGGTTGTGAGTAGTTGTGTGATGTCAGATATTCACCAGCTAAATAATAACAGATTCCATTGTCCCTTTCCTAACGCATTTCTCTGTGTTTTGTCTCTAATTAAGAGTGCTGAGATAGTTCTGAAGAATCTTTTTTTTGTGTGTGTGTGTCTTTTTGAAACAGGGTCCCGCTATGCAGTTCATGTTGGCCTTGAGCTCACTTTGTAGCCCAGGCCAGCCTCGAACTCGCAACAAACCTCCTCCTGCCTCAGCCTCCCTAGTGCTGAGATCACAGGCATGTGCCATCGCACTCAGCAGTTCTGAAGAATCTTAAGGCAGTGTTGATTTAATTTCAGACCCATGAATAGTGCTTGGGGGCCACCTATTCCACCTTGTAGTGGGTAGTCAGAAAAGAGAAAATTAGTGTCTGAGGAGCATCACAGGAAATCACCAGCAAGCCTTTCTATGAGATGCCAATAGAGTGGTTGCTGTTACTATTTTCCTGTGGGTTGTCAGAAGCAGATTATTCTTACCAGGTACAAAAGACTTAGTTGTTAATGTTACATTTCGTTATCCTGACCAGCTACACCTTTATGTTCATGTCATTCGAAAGAGACATAATTACTATGATGGAAGAAAAAAGGTAGCTAACGAAAGTCATTTAGCATTTTAAAAAAACAAATACAGCAGTAGAAAATTAGAGTTTGTCCAGGCTAGAAAATAGCACCCAAGATTAAGTTTTTTCCTAGTGAGACCCTCCAAAATTCTACCTACCATATTTAAATTTTAACTTCAGGCCTTAAAAAATTATGTTTAAGGCTGGCATGGTGGTGCATGCCTGAAATCCCAGTACTCTGGGAAACTGAGGCAGGGTAATTGCAAGTTTGAGACCAGCCAGTGCAATTTAGCCAAGATCCTGTCTCAAAAGATAAAGGATTGGGGATGTATCTCAGTGCTTAGGCCCTGGGTTCAACCCCAGTATAAACGGGGGGGGGGGGGGGGGGGGATTGGGAAAAAAAAAAAGCCCAAATTGGATTTTTTTTTTTTTTTTTTGTCTTTGAGAGGGTCTCCCTATGCAGTTCGGGCTAGTCATGAACACACTTTGTAGCTCAGGTTGGCCTCGAACTTGCAACGATCCTCCTGCCTCAGCCTCCCAAGTGCTGGGATTACAGGTGAGTGCCACCACGCTCGGCTTTATTCCAAATTGAGATGAGGGAAATTAAGCTGCAAGTTACAAGTGGAAGTAATTTCTTTTCCTTTGGCTTTTAAAAATTCTGAAAATCTTTAAAACAACATCTTTGGGCAATTTCTTAACACCTGTTTATTGTACCAAAGTTGATTTTAAAAATATACAGTAATATTTTACCTTTTTGGTTATCAGTTTGTATTTAGGCCACAGTTGGGGGAAGTATTACAAGTATGAGCAGTAAGTGCATTTTTGTAACTACCTTACTTTCTGAAAGAGTTGGCTGTGCTTGCCATTGCTTTAGCAATTTCAGATTGTTCTTCCTTCTGTGTAGGAGTTTTATCAGCCTCCTGACTTCCAGTGGAGAGTGGAAAACATGTATGGGTCTCTCTTCTGTGGAGAAATAGCTATATTGACTCAAGATGAAAGAAAGACAGTACCTTAAAAATTACAGTGCTTTGTAGGTCACAAGTACTTTTATATCTGATTTCTTTTGAATGTCATAACTGTAGGATGGGCAAAACAAAGTTTGTTGGTAATCTGATCGTAGGAAACGATGAAATGAATCTAGGTTAAAATTATTTGGAGTAATAGACTTTCTGAAATTCACTCCTGAAAGAGGATTAGAAAACCGAAAAGGAGAGATATATATTTTTAATTTCTTTCTTACCAAACATATTGTATAGAGCTTTGTTTGTCTTCTGTTGTACCTCAAGTAGGGTAGAAGTGAATGTTAAAAACATTCTTTATACAATGCTGCTAAGGAGTGGTGATATTAAAGACAATTAGAGAGGAAAATTAAAATTTCACACACTGTTTCTTGCCAG